GTGCTTTGTATACCTGTAGGGTTCATACTTTCTGTATTAAAAGGGAAAACCACTACATTCTCCTGTGTTTCTGGGCTTCCTGAATGATAGGAAGGGAAACTTTCTCTTAAATTCAAACACTCGCAGTCCAGGGAAGTTGAGGCAGGAGTAGCAGTCATGAGAAGGTGAGTTGATCACATGTGTGGTAGAGGTACAGAACCACATCATGAACGCAAAATTTTAGAGGCTGTTGAATGATCCTGCAGAAACCAGCCCTCAGGAAGGCTTTCCAGGTGCTAGGATTGACCTGACTCCAGAATTGAACTGTCCTGTTTTTTGTACAATGTTGAGTGCCCTCTTACCACGGCTGAGTATTAGCAAGAATGGAGGTTGTTTATTGCAATTTCTTGTAAGGGAGAAGACTCCCTCAAGAGTGAAGTAATGAATAAAGTCACTCTGAAGTCCAATAAGGTGCTCTGCTAAGCTGGCCATTATTTGGATGCCATAGTCGTAGTCATTGGGATTATTATCCTGAAACACTGAGAACACCATGTTTCCATTCCTGTGAGAAAAAAATATGGAAAACATGGAGGAATGTCTTCCCTCCTTTAGATCTTTGACATTGTTATGAAAGATGACTTCCAAAAGAAGAAGAAAGTAAGTTCCACAGATCTTGCAGCAAACTTGCAGTTCTCTGTAAATGCTGATGCATAGAAAAGACCAGAAATCTGTTCCTAACAGAGAAATAAATTTGACCAATATGTGGAGTTTTAATATAGCACAATTTAAACTTGAATTATAGAAGGGTAAACGGCAAGGTATGTTTTTAAAAAATATATTTTATTTTAAACTCATTTTTATATTCTTTACCATCATCTGCTTTTCCAGTGGTTTTGGGTTTGAGTATTTAATATACACCTTTGTGTAATTATTTTGATCTCTATTTCACAAACATAAAGAGAGGAAAAGGAAAAGTGCACATAGAGTATTATTACAGTGTTTGGAAAAACGTGGGGGGTTTTTTGCAATTAGTTGAAATAATAGAACCTGAAGGAGAATATTGTTATTTCTGCATTGTATAATCTATCCAATATAGATTTGATTAATGATCTAATCCAGTGATTAAATTAAGAAATCTCATTTCTGTCTCTTACCAGTAATTAATATGTTACAAACACTGAAGGCAATTACTGTATTTAAAAATGAGGACTCAAATTTTAAAATATTTTTTCGCAGCGTGTGGATGGAGATAAATAAAATGAAATGCTTGCATTAAAAAAAAAGTGTGAAATGGATTTTTCTACATTAAATAAGTATTTTGGTGGGATTATGAAATATGAACCCAGTTATATTACTGAGGAGGATGGGGTGGCAGATGAAGCACAGTTCTGCTCTGTCTTTGGATCACCTTATTTTGGCACCCTTAGCCATGCACTAAGTGACACTGCAAGCAAGAGCTGTGCAGTTTAAATGTGTGAAGTAGTGTCTGTTTTGTTCCTGAATTCTAATATCAGATTGCCTACTGTATTTTAAATGCCTTAATGTCACTTACTGCCCTTTGCAGGTCTGGTGATCAAAAATAAATACAAACAAAGATAATTTCATGGGTTTAATGCCTAGGAGACTTTATTCACTTCTTACTTCTTGTCTGAGGTAAGTATTTACCCAGTTCTTTAATTTGCTATTAGCTTTATTCGGTATGTCTGCCTTGACTTCCAGAAGTGAAGAACAGCACAAAAATTCTTCATTCTTGTGACCAGCTGACCTAACTGAAGTTATGCTGGGAAAGAGACTGCTCCTTCCCTTTCCTATGGTCTGTAAAACAGGCTTGTTGTGGATGTGGCATGTAGCAAGCCACCAAATGCTAATATTGGTAGGCTGCTTATCACCATGTTCCCTACTGTTCTCTGAGCAAGATCTCTAATTGCTGACCACAGGCACTAGGCAAGATGATTATTAAAGGAGAAACTGAAGACTTTTACCACTGATGAATCATAAATCTCAAACACTTTTAGAGAAAAAGACATCAAGGCTATGCTTATCTTGAAGGTCTGGGTGGCACAGTGAGGAAGAATGTGAGGATAATCATATGGGAACAGCAGAAATGTTGGTGGTTCCTAAACATCTGATAGGAGACAGTGGAACAAAGGACAGGGCTGATACAACTGCCATTTCATCACAGCATGCCCAAATCAAACAGCATCGTTTCCTGGGAGATCAAACAATGCTGCGTGCCTATTAATCATGAGAGAAGCTCTCTGCCGTTCTCACAAGTCCTCCAAAACCTGCCTAACTCAAGTGGGCGAGGATCAGCCCACCCATGACAAACTGCTGCGGCTTTGTCCTACATACTGTATATTATCAAAAATGTTATGTCTGCTCTGAACAAAATGTCCAAGTATGATAAATGTGAGCAATGCTTCAAGAAAGTGGGCTTGTCTTCATAAGAAAATTGTACCAACTTTAAGTTGGGTTAATTTATTTTAATTAGGCTAATCTACAGACCTTCCTGAGACAATCTTATTTTTGTAAATATTGCTGTCACGCTCACTGAAATAAATGTTTTGTGCAGATTAGTGTGCTGCTAAATTGGTCAGAAATAACATCAAATTTGCAGTGACTTTCTCGAGTAGCTACGTTATATGCTCTAGTCTTCTTTACATTGAACTCTTAGTTCCCTCTGTTTATTATACAAATGTAGGAGCTTTAAGAAGGTTTTCAGTGAAGCAGCAGGCATCTTCTTCCCCCGCAAAGAGAGCCTCTATTTCTGAAGGTTAGAGAAGGCCTTGTGTAGTCCTGACTTTGGAATGTACAGCCATACTCTTCTCAAGCTGCATGTGGTAGTCCTCACTGCTGGAATTAATCTAAATTTGATATAGTATAAGTCAGAGTTAATGATACAGCTCTTTTTATTGTTGAAAATCTTGGTAGAACAATGCTAACGGAAAATTCAATCTACTTTTGTAAAGTGTAATATTCCAGCAGAAGGCAAAACAATCAGAATACATTTTTTTCTTACATATCCAAGGAAAGAATGAATGTTTACTTGGTAAGTAAGCTTTTCATTGAAGAAATACAAGCTTCAAATAATTTAGAATCCCTAAAAATCTGTTTACTGTGTGCTTATTCTCTGATATTATGCTTGACTGTCAGTCATCTATGTTTTATTGTGTTTTACTATTTGAACTTCATTATGAGATGAAAAACTTGAAGGCACTTTTAAAATGTAAGCTAGGTTAGAAAAAGCACTGTTCAGGATGTCACAAGAGTAGTTTAAAAGAAACTTCTTACTGTGACATTCATGTCTAACATCAATATGCTGGGGCAAGTATAATAGTAGCAAGAATAACAGTAGTCATTAAAAAAAAAAATTATTCCCAGGGAAGGGGAGAAGCATGAAAGCAGAGTTATTTTAATGACCCAACAAGAAAGTTCTGCCAGCAAAGTCTTTATTACTTGTTTATGTAGTCTTGTGTAAACGAAAAATATTTTGTTTATTTAAAAGATGCAATGTATGTTTTATGTTGTTTCTTCCAATTATGCATGCCAAATATATTGTACCTTACAGAAACCTTTGAGGCAATTATTCGAGAATTTGGCAAGAAGTAACTTAATGACCACTAAGTAGTCCTTCAAACAAGAAGTCTCTGTTTTATCTGTGAAAAGTAAACCTAAAAGTGTAAGTAAGGTTAGGTAAGAGAGAAAAAGAGTAGGCTAAGCATCAAACTACTTTAACTTCAGCTTTTACAATAGTGAGAAGCAGCTCAGGAATTACAACCCATTTATCATTATTTCCAGCTACTGCTACATTCCTTTTTAGCTTAGGCAGATATTACAATGTGTATGGCATATCCTAGGGTTATTTTTACAATCATCATAGTGTTTATATCTGAAAAAATATCAGATCCTCCCTTTACCATACCACTTTTTAAGTTAAACTTACTGAAGTCTCTTTTTTTTTAAGGAAAGAAAGGACTGCTAGACTAGAATATCCTAAAGCAACTGGCAAGGAATTTGTTCAGGACCAAACAAAAGCAGTACCCAAAAAATAACTACAATTTGGTATATTGGAAGCATAACCTTCCCCAGAGCTGATCTGTTTCTGATTTCACTGAAATTAAAGGCTGTCTTCTGTTCAGTTTTTGTAGCAGAGGATTTAGACTCACAGGAACTCAGCAGATGCCCTGGTGATACGCTAGTTAAGCTTGAGTGACTCAAGCAATGCTGACTTAGACTAAAAGAGGATCTACTCTAATAAGCGGGGTTATGTTTTTGTCCTTGGTAACATGATGGTGACTTACACAGCAATCTGACAGGGATTTATACTGTTCTCTTTTCAAGAGGCAAAATGTTCCCACAATGTATTTGGGTTTTTGGCAAGGTTTTGGTAGCAGGAGGTTACAGTGGTAGCTTCTGTGTGAAGCTGATAGAAGCTTCTCTTGTGTCTGATAGAGCCGATGCCAGCTCCAAGATGGACCCTCCACTCACCAAGGCTGAGCCCATCAGTGGCAGTGGTAGAGCCTTTGGGATAACATAGTTAAGAAGGGGAACAAAGTTATAGGTGGAAGCAATTACAGCCAGATAAGAGAGGATTGAGAATATGTGAGAGAAACAACTCTGCAGACATCAAGGCCAGAGAATAAGGAGGGGGAGGAGGTGCTGCAGGTGCTGGAGCAGAGATTTCCCTGCAGCCTGTGGTGCAGAACATGGTGAGACAAGCTGTCCACCTGCAGCCCATGAAGGTCCATGGTGGAGCAGAGATCTACCTGCAGCCCATGGAGGACACCATGCTGGCACAGCCCTGAAGGAGGCTGTGACCCCGTGGGAAGCCCATGTTGGAGTAGGCTTCTGGCAGGACCTGTGGCCCCAAGGAGAGAGGAGCCCAAACTGGAGCAGGTGTGCTGTCAGGAGTTGTGACCTCACAGGGGGCCTGCCCCAGAGCAGTCTGTTCCTGAGGGACTGTGCCCTGTGGAAGGGGCACACATTGGAGCAGGGAAAGAGTGTGAGGAGTCCTTCTCCTGAGGAGGAAGGAGTGAGTGGCAGACACAACATCTGATGAACTGACTGCAACCCCCGCTCCCTGTCCCCCTGAGCTGGAAGGGGGAGGAGGTAGAGAATATGGGAGTAAAGTTGAGCCCAGGAAAAAGGGAGGGGTGGGGTAAGGTGTTTTAAGATTTGCTTTTATTTTCTCATTGTCCTGATTAGATTGGTAATAAATTAAACTAATTTCCCCAAGTTGAGTCTGTTTTGCCCATGATGATAACTGCTGAGTGATCTCTCTCTGCCCTTATACCAACCCACGAGCCTTTTGTTATATTTTCTCTGCTCTGTCCAGCTGAGGAGGGGAGTGATAGATCAGCTTTGGTGAGCAGCTGCTGTCCAGCCAGGATCAATCACAAGCACTCCCACACAAGCTCTAGAAAGACTGAGTTCATGACTGTGTTTTGGGAGACTTGTATCACTATGTGCCAGGCCTTCTTGACCTCTCAAAACAATGGCCCCAGGGAAAAATACTTACACTTACTTCCTCTCCTTGTCTATTTATTCCTCAGTGGTCCTATGGACCGAACCCTTGCCTATGTATAAGAAAAAAGGGTAAAGAGAAAAGTACAATACTGGGAGCTCTGCTCCCGCTTGTTTGGGAAAACAAATCTATAGACTCTGTAGTCAAGGGACATGGACATGGCCTTCTCCTTGTTTTCTCTATCTAAACATGGCATCCTGATGTGGGAGGTGCAGAAGCTTTTCACATACTGCTCTCTGCTCTGTAACCATATAGAGCAAGACCACAGCATGTGTGGCAGGAAAAGATTATGCCACAGGAGGGGCTTAGTAGTTAGCTTTCCTCTCTAATGAACTGTGATTAGCTCAACTAAGAAGAAGCAGGGCAAAAGGAGAGTTTCTACATCCTACTGTGAAGAAGGTTATGTCTTCTGTTTTGGTATTGATGAGGGGTTTTCCACTACACTGTAGCTATCTACATGGCCACAACCCTCCAGCAGAACTCCTTTTGGTCTGTATCCTTTTCATTCAGAAAGATTGAAAAGAGGTAAAAAAATTATGTAGGATTCTGATCCGGACTCATGGAATTTGGTTTGTACAGGCTTGGTTAAACAATGAAATAAGCACAGAAAAATTAGCACCATCACTATAATTTCCTGCTGCCTGACATTGGTTGAATATACACACTCAGCTTTCAAAGTGTACATACAAATAACTATGACACAGCCCAATATTTAGGACTTCTGCTTTTTTTTTTAGAAAATACTACCTCCCATTGCCTTGTTTACTTTGGATATATTCTAAATAACAGAATCAATTATATCTATCTAAGATATGTAAAATAGATAAATAAATACAAAATCAATTCCCTTTTCCAAAAGCAACACAGAACAAGTGGTACTTCATGAGGCATGAACAACTTTCTAATTAACGTGAATCTCTAGTTTTAGAACATTTTAAGGCAGTATAGCCTGCAACAATTACTCTTACTTTAAAAACAGTCTGTTTTGTGATGAGTTATGTTCAGCCCTCAGAAGGGAAAAAGTTAAAGAAACATTGTCACAATAATGTCCAAGATTAGCATGCTAATTAAAAAAATATAGTTCTCCTCTGGAGCATCTATTTTTTTTTCTCCAGTTTTGAGCCTTCCATGAAGAACACAGACTGTTATGTATGTGTCCTCTTTAAAATTTCTTGTGTTACAGATGAATCAGTTAGTGAAGAATTCATGACTCATTCCTACAAAAAAATTTCTTGAACTTCCCCACCTATGTGGCCTGAGGATCATACCCCTACTGACTTATCTTCTAGCAAGCTTTCTCATTTTGTTAGCAAGAAGTTCTTAATTTTCTTTTTGATATTGCATCCATGAGGACATGGTTGTTGAGTTATCCCTGAAATGGAAGGCATGATCAAACTCAAGATTTCTAGCATTACAATCTGACTACAAGCATGGCTGGTATGTATCATGGGTAATCATATATTCTGTGGGACAAAGTATTACAGGTAGTTTTAGGCTGACAACTAGTGTGTATCTTAGCAAGGGTATTAATTGCAGATGTTTGGATATTTGATTTCAAGTTTATGCTTTTCAAGCTTACTACAAATGAAATGGAAAATGCAAAACATTAAACAAGGCTACATGGTCAGTGCTTTCCATTTAATGCTGAATCATATGGTTTGCATCTACCACGATGTAAATTTTGTTTACATCTCTGCTAGAGGGTTGTGGCCTTGTAGATAGCTACAGTCTAGTGGAAAACCCCCCATCAATACCAAAGGACAAATAATAGAAGTGGGCAGAAAGTTGATTTTCTCAAAGAGCAGTATAGCAGAAGTAATTCCTTGCAATTAGATGGTTTGACAGAGCAAAGAAGTGAAAGAAGGCAGAAAAAAATTAAGGCTTGAATTCTGAGATCCTGAATCCCTGAAATTCCTGCTAGCATTTGTTGCCAGACCAAAGACCACAGGGACAGAAAGGGTACCTGCTATGTATAAACAGGGAAAATAGTATAAGCAATTTTTCTAAAACTTACCTGTATGAACTGACCCATAAAAATTAAGGGCAGGCAGGGCATCGATTACTTGCACTCAGAGATCCTAAAGTGACTTGTCCAGCTTGTCGTTTGGTCATAATAGGTTTTTTTCTCATTTCTTTAGTAATATGAGATATATAGTGTCCTTTGAAGGATCCTTTACTTACCCTTTTGTATTACTAGTGCATCCCAGTTTTATTCAGCATATTAAAAGAATTGTCCAATAACATTGGACAACAGTGGTAACATATACATTTATATTTTCCTAAAATATCTTCTCCTTCTCCTTCTTCTTCTTCTGCTTTGCTCCCCACTATTTCAACATTCATTCCCAATTTTTGTTCTATCGCCAACAGATAGTTCTGCTGACTATTTTGTGAGTTCAGTATTATAGCAGCACTAGATGCAAGCTTCAGCAAATCTATTTAAAAGGTAAATAGGAAGCATTTGGGGCATTTAAGGAAATGCTCTGGGCAAAATTCAGAAAGCCTGCCTAAAAATAACTAGTTTAGCTTTATGCATGTATTGTCTTTATTTATAGTACAGGTTCAGAGTCCTAAACTTAACTTTCAAACAATCCAGTGCTTTCTGCCATTTGGGAGGTCTGCTGATATTTCCTTTTCTGGTGATCAGGATGGTTCAATATACTCAGAAAGACATTCCCCATTCTCTTTACTTGTTCACAGTGTTCCCATGATTTTTAAGCATAATGAATTCAAGAAAACTGTAGCATAATTTGATGATTTAAGAATCTTTATCCTTATAAAAAACCCCAGGATTTGGTGTCTTGGTAAATGTAAAATAGTTAAAATAGCAGAATTTCATTCAGTGTTTTCTCTTGCAAAGGAAAAGATTTTTTTCCATCTCATAAGTTGCCTCAGTTGTTCTTTTAAACTTAAAACAGGTAACAAACCAGGTGTATCCTGTGTTATGATACTCCAGTGATTTTTATATTGAGAAGTCATGAGAAGATCTTTGTTAAAAAATGATCCATCCATGATAATGCCACCATCTGCTGTCCAAGGAGAATGGAGAGCAATGAAAATGAGAAATAGCAAAATCTCAAACTGACTTGGTGCAGGCTCCCTCCAGCAATCCACAAATCTTAATCAGGCATCTGGCAGGGACTTGGCAGCTTTGCAGTTGTGGGAAGTGAAAAATGATCATAGTTAAACTTATGCCTAGCATCCCCTTATTTTTTACAAAGATGGTAAAATAGTAATGTGGTACCCATTTGCAGGCATGCATCTATGTATAGCTTCAGATGCCCCCCCCAACAAAGCACTTAAACTGCTGACAACATCATGCATGGGCGAACTGTAGTGGTAGTGAATTTGGGTTTGATTAAACTCCCACTCTCTCAGCTGTTTCTCAAGATTTGGTGCACTGTGTTCTTTTTCCTTCTCTGAATGGCACTGAGCATTACCAGTAGTAGCACCATGACTTACTACTACCTCATACTATATTAAATATCCATTTACTTTTTTTCCTTGCAATGACATAACAGAAGAATTTTTTTGATGAGATTAGTCTCTTCACTGCCTGTATATGCTCTGTTTACCTTCAGCTGGGAATTTTTGGGACTGATTAGATGGTGTCTCTGCCATACAACCTACATGAACCAAAGCCAGTGATTTCATGCCTGATAGGCATCATAGACAAGGCATTAGGGGAACTCTCGAAGCTGCCTATATAGAGGCATGGACACATGCAGCCAACTTTTCTTTTGTTTCTGTAATTTTAATCCCTATCTGAAAATTCCACTACATCTAAAACAGATAAGTAACAAGGGTCAAGTTCTTTTGCTCCTCATGCACTCCTTACAACTTCCCTCTCAGATCTGACAGGTTGTTGGCAGTTTTGTACCCATCTGTATTTTTCTTCTGCCTCCAACTCCTCGCCATCTCTTCCTAAATGCGTTCTTTCTTTCACATTGCACAGTGTGAAACTAATGCAGACTGCTGGGTGGTAGGTCTAAACTAGCTTAGACTTCTGTAATCTCACTTTCCTTCACTCACCCTTCAGTCCAGCCCTCTCTCCCCGCCCTTCTTTACACCAGTTTTTCTTACATGACAACATAGTCCTTAGAAGAGAGGCTAGGCATTTGTAAGAGGTGTATTACACAGGGCATTGCCACACAATAGAAAGAAAGAATAGTAATATGAGGAAAAACTAGTAATATGACCTCATTATAAAGCATTTTACTATAACTTGAATTTATATAAAGCCCTTGGTAAAATAGTTAAAATTCTTCATCCTATTTGTTCTTGGTTCTGCATCCCCTCCTGTTCACTTGTTGTATACTCTGGTATGTTCACTTCTGTTGGGCTATCAGGCAGCCTGCTTGCAGTACCTGCTTTTGCTGTCCAGAAACTAGCATATACAAATATTTAGGCCCAAACCCTACTATCAGCTTATTTACTAAGTGCCCTTGTTATTGTGCTAAAGTGTGCATGACTCCATGCCTGAATGAATGAATGAAAATGGTCGCCTTTAACAGGGGGCACTCGAATAATTTGTGGCCTTCTCAGTTCCGAGTGCCATTCAGCAGATGCATCCTGGAGCTCTTCATTCTCTTCATCATTTCACAGTAAAGATACAAATGACCAAATCGGACATAACTTGTTTGGTGAAAATGGATGGGTGAGTTGTGTGTAAATATACCTTGCCTTGGTAGCAGGAGTGCTGTTTGCCTCTGGTTTAGATAGAACCATCTCCTCATGGAGAACTAAGGATCCATTACCTAAACCCACTGTGCAGGTCTATTCAAACACTTGCTAATACAAGTTACAGCTTCTCAAGTTCTTCTAGAGATGCGTCTCTTCCCTTCTGAGGGAGCGTGCATCTACTTTGTTCTTACCAGAAATATGTGCTGCATCAGAGTATTCATAACAGAAAGCAGCTTTTCAGAATGCAACCCTTTTCTCGAAGAACAGGAAGTGGAGCTTCCAGATAACGGAAGCTTTAATTTTCTAGCTGTCTTGGGTGGATTTAGCCCCTGACTTAACAGTGAAATGGCAAGAGGTTTCCCTTGCATAACGATGCACGATGTACTTACAGAGCTAACAGAACATAACTCTGCAGACAAATAGAGAAACTCAGTATGTGTTTCCACTTTTTCTCCCACATTTTTTCCACAAACGGTGTCTCCAGGAGGCTTGGACACATTTGTGCGAGGAGGGAGGCAGTGCCCCTTTCCCCCAACAGGGTGCGCCAAAGAACTGCTCTTCACTCGCCTCGACGGCCTCACACTTGAATTTGGGCTTTTTATGTTACACACTTGAAAGTTTAGTATTAGACCCCTTATTCAGTATGTGGGATTGTGATTTTCTTTTCTGTTACCCTGGTGGCTTGATGGTCTCGCCTGTGCAAAGCTTGCTACCTTATAGCAGCTATTGCTGGGTTATTTTGTCTTGGGCAATGGCCCAGACCCTTCAAAAGCTTGTCTCTTCTGCCTCATGCAATTGCTCGTTCTGTTTCATGCAAATATTTATGTAATCCTATTAATCTATAATGTTATACTGATTAATGTGAGTGTTCCTTCCCTTTCCTAAAAATGGCATAGTTAAATCTGTAGACTTTGATTCATTAACTCATGTCTGTGTTTCAACATGATGGCAGTGTTCTCATTTTTCTTTTCAATGGTGTGATGATGTGGTCACCCTTCTTGATTTCACTTTCTCTTTACACAAGTGCTTTATTGTTCACACAGAACTCTTATTTATAGACGCCTCTAACTGGTAACCTGTGACTGCAGCACAGTGATATTGTTTCTATGCTTTGGCAAAGGACACAGCTTTTCCAAAATAATAGAATATTTTTAGCTGGCCTACGTTCATTATCTGATGCCACACAGAACACAGTAATTAAGTATTTAATGCTTTCATGCACTAAATTAAACTAACTAGCAAATCTAGCTTTAAGAGAGAATTTTCACTGAGGGTGTGTTACCAAGACAGTACCTGTAAGGTAGGGGAAAATGTAATCAAAGGACATGGCAGGTAGTGAAGATATGGCACTATGGAACTATATTTGGTTCTACATTCTATAAGTGACACATTGCTATTTTGAGCTAAACAGCTGTTCTCTCATTTTTATTTATTCAAGATACTAAATTTTTGTAAAGGAGAAACTAATTCCACCAATGCAACCATAACCAGCCTACATTCATGTTACCAGGAGGGCTTGGGACACAGACTACTAAGATGTGAGCTCAAATAGAGGCATAAGCATCAGCGTCAGGGTGGAGCAATCCATACAAATTTTTTCCCACTTGCCAACAGATTGCACACTGCAAGGCAGCAGTGGTGCGCTGTGTTTTGTGAACTTTGTCCTCTCTTTCTTTCTTTCTCCAAGAAGACATCTGCTGCTGTTTCCAGAATGGCAGTATAGGCTCCAAAGTGCCACTAAATTTGAACAGTCAGTTGGAAAAGGTGAAAACTGAACTTCCTGTCTTCTCCTCTTCATGGCCCAAAACGTTATTTGATTTACCAAGGTAGAGATTACTTCAGTAATCAGATTTACTTGTGTATTATTTACTGAGAGTGTCATGTACACTCATAAGCTCTGATCATCAAATATATTTCTCCTCCTAGTGTATTTCTCCCTCTTCTCCCAGTTCGGCTCACTAAGTGTTTTTTAAGAATAACAATGAATATTTACTGCACAAGAAGTACTCTTAGATAATACTTTTGCACAGACTGCCAAACCCCATTATTTTCTGTATTCCAAATTCAAACTGTTAAGAAAAACTTCATTTCAATAGGAAATTAATTTTGTTACAGTAAGAAAATATTTACATGAAGAGACAATTATTAAATTATTACAGTGAGGCTCTCAACTATCTCTTATGTCTGCTTTTCTGGTTTGAAATAGTTGAATCAGTAACATTTCCAAGTCTGAATCTTTCTCATTGATGTTGGAGAGTTTCCTATACCGCGTATCTACATATGATATTTATCTGATGAATCAAGGTATGTGACAGGTACCATTGACTTTGCAGGATCTTACTCTTTTTGTCAACTAATCTGTTTTATGGAATGTTTCCTAACAATTTCCCCACCTGAATAGTTTAACATGAAATATAAGTTTTGCCAGGATGGATTCTTAGCAAATACTAATAGACAGAACATTTAGCCTTTTCCTTTTTTGTGAGATCAAATATTTTCTGCAACTAGCTGCCATCATTCTATCTAGGCTGGTAACTAATAGTTTTGTGTTGTGCTATAAATACAGAGTTCAATGTTGAGAGTTCATGAGGGAAAGATGGGGGAAATACAGCTCTTTTGACCATTCTTAGGATTTCCAGCTTTTAATGCAGGCAGAACCACTATTTCAAAGTAAGTAGTTGTGTGCAGTGTATAATTCATGTTTTTCCCCCTTGAAAATTCTATTTTATTCCAGTCATAGCTGTGCATTTTTTGAATAATTTAAAAGCCAAATGTTTAAGAATGAATGTGAGAATCTCCTCACACTAACTGAGAAAAGGCTACTACTAGCCTGAGTTTAGGCCTTCATATGCTAATATTTGCCTTTCTCATAAACTGCTAGAATATGCAGTTTTGTTATCATTAGCAGAGATTTTCTTCAGATCTTTCAGGACAAAGTTCTTTTTTTGACGTTATTCTTGAGCTTTCAAGTAGTTTGACATGTTCTATGTAAAAACAGCACAATCTTCTGAAGTTGCCAAATTAGTGAGATTAATGAGCTCCCATTTTTAACTATTAATGGCTTCCTATATAAAAGAATTATACTTACTGCAATCACAGATTGTTCATGTTTGAAACTACAGGTTATCAACTTATTATTGTAGCTGTTTGCAGTTTATTTTAGTCTCCTGCTATTCTGATACAGGGCAACTCTGCCTTGAACGTTCTTTATCTGCCAAAATGTATGTGTCTTGTTCAGACTAAATCTTTTTATTGAAATTGGATTATGTAATAAGAATTCATGACTGAATGTTAAGAAATAGAACTCAATTCTGTTTATATTGTAATATGTATAGGGAGGAAAAACCTCCTTCCTGCCAGTGGTTTGGCAGGATAGCAGATACAGGCTTTCTTAGACAAAGATCAAATGAAGTAAATAGTTTCCATTTCTATGTGTACATACAGGTATTATCTTGCAAGATTTGAAAGACACTGACAGGAGACAGATGATGGAATGACTTTCTTCTTTTGCCTGAGCAAAAAAACTTGCATTGCTGCTCTGGTGTGCAAATAAATCACTATCTCAAGTCCTGAGTGGTGTAAAAGCACAGAAGTGGCTTGAAACAACTCATCAGTGACATCCAAATAGTCCTGTTTGTAAATATAATTCACAAATCTAGAATAAACAGAAAGTCAACTGTCTTCAGTGTTGCGGGACTGCACCAAAACTGGTTTTAAAAGATACCGAGTATAATTTAAAGTGATTCCGTAAGGTTAAACAACTTGGATCTCTCCCTGTCATATGTGCAAATTCAGAATCCTTTGAATAGTGTTGCTACTGCAGTGCAAGTAAAATGATAGTCATACTCTATCATATGTAAATATTAAGCTGAACAGATTTTAAATTCCCATTGGCTGGGAAATGGAGTAATTCCATAACTTCAGTGAAGTTACTTTGATTTTATAGTAACATAGTATAGCCCTTGGTCTCTTATCTTCTCTAATGTATGTTGTGCAGAATTTTAATGTTGCTCAGGAATTAACAGAAGTATCAATCATACTTCAGCAAAGCCTCAAAATACTTTCTAGTCATATGGATTATCACAAAAATACTGAAAATGTAAAAGGACAGGCAATTGTGATTTTAATAGTTAGCTGCATGGCCATGCTCATATATGAAGAATCTTTCTTGAAAAGGGACATAGCAATTGAAACAAAATATAATTTAAAATTGTAGAGTTTATAACAATATGTTTCACATAGGCACTGTGTAAATAAGGATGAAGACTGAAAATTTTTTGGTAAGTGATTATACTGTAAGTTTGAATATCTTAGATGCCAGTGACCAAAGCTGAACTTCTAAATGGGGTCCAAACTGTCTCTGATGGAGCAGCCAAAATTGCCAGTAGTTTCTATACATCTTGGCTGCTATGAACCTGAGGTGATATCAAAGGGATGTGAAATTACTTAAAATAATTTTGCATTAGATTGTGTGTCAAAGCCGAGTATTGTCTGTTTGAACATCTATGCTGTCTACCTACAGCACATGTAAGGAAAACATAAATGTAATATATTGTCTCTCTCATCATGGAAAACTTGAGATTTAATGTGTGTTGTTTCTATCAGCATCAGTGAGTCATCTTGTTTCCTTACTTTCTACTAAAGTATAATATAGAGGTTGTTTGCACTATTCTGCCATGAAATAGTACAAATGTTCTCTTGGGTACATTGTTTAACATATATATCATAGGTAAGAAGTGGCCATTTTGTTTTCACAACTTGTGTTAGAAAATAGATTTAAAAATATCTGTGGCTCCAGTTATGTAGATACGGTAGTGGATACTTTCCCAATTATCTTTATATAATTAGAAGTGAATTAGTCTCTTTAAAATTGTTTCAGTTGTTTCATTGATTGTTTAATGTTTGCTTGTGTCTCTTTTTTTGCTTGTATCTGTGAATTATAGAACTCTTACAGATACCTGGTACATGCTATCTGGTACATGCTAACCTGCTAAGCATGCTAACCACTCTGCCTGCTTAGACAAAATTCACAAAGGGAATAGAATATTTAAATTTCTGTTTTATATCTCTATTCTTCTTCAATGATACTTGAAGTTCTGTTAATGTATTTTTATCTTTAAAAGTCAAGCAGCTCTCTAATTGTTCCTACAGCTTCCTGTCTACAAAATCATATAGATAGAAAAGTACTGCCAGAGAGGCTGGGCCTCAGATATGGTATGTTTAGAATTTAATAGGGAATG